AATAACCACTTGTTATTGCAACATATATAATTTTGTTACCTAAATTAAATACTTAAGAAAACATATTATGGAATTTAAAAATGCCTTTAGCTTTTCTCTTGTAATTTGTAAAATATAGACATATCTATATGAGTATCTGCCTACATGTAGATTTAGTAACCAAGTTCTAAATTATGTTCGTAGGCAAGATTCAGTAATACCAAAATAAACGACAGCAACATTCAATCCTTGGAGAAGATCCAAACAATTCTTCGAAAAACTGCTCAGTGGTATAAAAATTTCAAATAGAATAAACAGGAAAAATTTGAATACACATCATATTATTGTATAATTCATAGTTAATTTTCACTTCATTACTAGAATTGAACTACCGATGTTTAGGACTATGAACATGTGTTTTTTTTTTCAACTTAACATTACTTCAGATATCATAATCAAAAAAATAAATACAAACCTAATTTTTCAACTTTGTCATCATGCAAGAAATTATAATTCACTACATCTATCCTCTACATCTATACCAAATTTCATCGAAATCCATTCGGCCGTTTAGGCTACAAACTCTAGCAAACATCCATCCATCTAAACTTTCACATTTATAATATTAGTATAATTATTATATTACAACAGCTGTTTCTATAGATTGAATGTAAATTTTGTTGCTATTCATGTTTTGTTATATTTTGCAACGTTTGCGACATATTGCGGACTTCAATCGGCGATAACTTCGGTCATCAAACATAGGCCGAATAGAATGTCTCATTCGAAACATTTATTAATACATAATTAGACGATAAATCAGCGCATAATAGGTATGAAATAGTTATATAAAGTTATCATACAATCGACTTCAATATGTCGAGGTCATCGTTAACGTTAACTACTATGTAGTCTTCTAAAAAATGTCAAAATACCTAGTTTTGTACAAGTTTATAACATACTTAATAAAGCAACGTATGACAAACTTTTATAAAGAAAATTAAGGAACTCACTAGTGTTGAGTTATAAGGATGACGCAACAAAAAAATAAACAAATAAGGAAAAACTAAAACAAACTTTGCAAAAAAGAGTACAGACCAAGAGTCTGTAGAAGTTGATAAATAAAAAAAAACTTTTATAAAGAAAAAAAATTAAGGTAACTATAACCTATAACCTTTTTACTATACGTGTTAAGTAAAGTAACCTTGCACGCATCAATAGATTGTATATTTAACCTAACGAAAACGTATTATAGTCACGAACATCACATATTTCTTAACATACTATATTTATAAAGTTAATCCGTATATCGGCAATGAACAAAAACCAAATATTTATAACTAACATCGTAAAGATTTTACTGGAATAAGAATTTCGCACATCTTTTGCGGTAAGATTTGCTAAAACGGTTATTGGTCATGGCCACTATTTAGTATACATCGAGGAAGTGGAAAGGTCATGTGTTTGTAACGAACGCAATCGACAATCTTCACTAATACAATTGTAAACAAATAAGCTACAACAAATACTATACTTGGTCTACTGTAATTAGACTTCATCACATCGCTTATACTAAAATTGATAAAAAAAATTGTAATAAATAAACTAGAAATCCATGTTTCTGGTATAAATGAATCTCCAAATCTTTATCGAAATGATTAAAAAAGGGTCCGTTTCCAACCTTTCTAAATTACTACTTAGTTTATATTAAAATTGTTTCTAAAAGAAACTGTCATTATTTGTATTTACTAGAACGATTTAAATGCTAAGTTAACAAACTTCTGGTGTTACTTAAAGGTGTTATGATGGCGAAATTGGCCATGAGAATAGTTTTACAACAAAAAATACACGACCGTGTGACCCATTGGTCAAGATCTTCAGATTTCAAGTCTTCAAATTCAAATATCAAAGTAATTCTTTATCATATTTGATACTTTATTAACATCACTAGCTGTTCCCGAGCGGCTTTATCCACATGAAATTATAAAAAAAAAATCATTTTTTACATTCATCAAATTGTCAATTGCAAATGTCAAAATGACATGACATGATGACAAACCATGGAAGCCCTCTTCGTTGATGTTGGCAACTTGTAGTTTATGGTCCCTTTTCCACTTGGTGGTTTATTCAATTTATTTATCCTTTATGTTTAATATTGTGAAAAAATAAAACGTGTCGTAAGTGTTTTATTAAAGAAATAATTCTTCCAAAATATAGATAACACGTACAAGAGAGTAAAATTGTAATATACTAGATCATACTTGTCAACGTGTGTCGAAATACGAACACAGTATTATCACAACAGTACTTGAAGGAATCTACAATCACTAGATGACCTACACGGAGATTCTCTAGATTTTATCCATTCAACAATATACAGTGTGTCAAGACGCGTGACATTATCAGAATTGAGGCCTAGCCATCGATTGCGTCGGAATTGATGATCTCACTCATTCGCCTTGTTGAATTTGACAGCCATGTTTAATTCATATGAGAACGAATTATTAATACCTATGCCTTTGTAAAGAATTACATCAACTTATTTTTCATTTTCGGTCACTGATTTTTGTTTATCTTTATCTAACGTGTGTATACATAGAACTGTTATACTACTGATGATAACAAAAACGTCTTTTCAATTTACGTTTTATTTGTATGCAAAATTTGGACAGTACAATAATTCCTGCAACTTTTCAATTCCAGATGGCGAGACTGATAGTAATTTTGATCGGAATATTGGCAATCAATTTTATCAATGGTGCACCAAACGAAAAGATCAGAGGTCTGCATCAATCAGGACACCATGAACCAACAGTAACCGATGAGAGTTACTCAGGAATCGACAACGACGAGGTCCTGGACAGGAAGAGAGAGACACAAAGGCAAAAGAGATGGTACAATACCTTTCCTTATACACCATCTTACGTGAGACCTCGTGACACAGAACTGGAAGAAGATTTGTCATATATACGATTGCGTTTACAAGAAATATTGGATATGGCAAAGTCATCTCCGCCTCCACCGCCACCGCCTACGTTTTATCCGGTGTACGTGCCAATATACATTCCTCAACCACAGTGCGGATGTAATCCCACCCCTCACGAAGAACCGACGACGAAAGCGCCTGTAATAACGACTACACCAAACGAAACCGTCCCGAATCTTAACGAAAGATTGCCAGAAATGGATGACGAACGTCAAATTTGGGGAATTTTAGTTAACAATTCACTACCCGAATATGATGATGATGATGGAAGCAGACCTATTTCATTAACGCCTGTAATAACTAATGACGACGGCGGTATAC